CGGGCAGCCGGCGGCCGGCCCGCCCTCGTCCCCCTCGGGCGCCGGCACGTTGAGGTCGCACAGGCTCACTGAGAGGCGCGCCTCGTCCGCCTCGCGCCGCAGCGACGGCCGCCGCAGGGCGGTGAAGGAGCGCGGCCGCAGGCAGTCCGGGAACACCAGCTCGCTGTCTGCGGCGGGAGGGGCGAGACAGACAGGCGACCGTCACCACCAGGCCTCCCGGCGGCAGGAGGGGAGGGGGCCGGTCCCCTGCATGCCACCCCTCACCGATGTCTAAAGTATGAACCATCAATACACTTGCCGAATGCTTAACGGCATAGAAAATGCTTATGTCATAAATTAACGAGCAAAGTCAGCAAACAGGGTTGGGCAGGACATCTAAGTGTTTAACCAAAGTAATAAGGCTGGAAGGACATCTAAGTCTAAACTATATAATGGCTTCTAAATGCTTGGGAGCTCATGAGTGCTTTCTTTGTACATATGTGTTTTCCTTATTTCTACAGTAAGTGTGTATTTTTAACCCTGGGGCCATTACCTCTTTATCCCCAGCACCTAAAACAGCGCTGAGCGCTTAGTAGGCAAAGAGTAAATATTTGTCCAATGCACTGATGACATCCTAACACTCTGGGAGGCCAGCAGGGAACCCCCCCCCCAACACTCCTTTGCTTAAATTGTCTTGAGGTTACCATTGGCACATAAGGACATTGAGGCTGACAGAAGTTAAGTAAATTTACCCGAGACTTCCTTTTGAAAATGACTTAACGGGAAATCAAACCCTTTCTCTTTTTAATCATACAAGCGATACAAACTGTACTTGTATTTTGTGGAAAATACAGTTCAGCAAAAACAAAAAATAATCGCCTGTCAGCCCACCACCCAGAGAAAAGCACTTTTAATATTTGGATGTATGTGGAAATCAAACCCTTTCTCTTTTTAATCATACAAGCGATACAAACTGTACTTGTATTTTGTGGAAAATACAGTTCAGCAAAATAAAAAATAATCGCCTGTCAGCCCACCACCCAGAGAAAAGCACTTTTAATATTTGGATGTATGACCTTTTAGCCTTGTAAAATGTATTTCTGGTTACTTTTTTAAGTTGAGTCATGCTATATAAATACCAGTAGTTTTTAACCTTTTGTGGGGAGTAAATCACTTTGAAAATGTAATGATAACTTTGACCTATCTCTCCAGAAAAATGTACATTCTCACTGAGTTCTGTGGATAATTTCAGACCATCTGTGAACTGCATGAAGCCATCCATGGCCAGGGACTCCAGGCTAAGAACCTTCTGTGCAGATTTCCTTTCTCACAACTCACTTTTCACTTCTATATCCTAAGAACCTCCCCATGCCAATAACTGTTTTCAACACCATATTTTAATGGCTGTTATGTCCTGCTTTATGAAGTCCTGTAACTTATAATAAAAGTAATCTCCATGTGCCAGGAATTACTCGGATGTTTCATCCTTAAAGCAGCCCATGGAAGTGTTCCCATTTTACAGATAAAGCACAGAGAGGTTATGTGACAGCCACCACGTGGTAGATCCAGGATTGAAGCAAGATCTATTCAACTCACAATACACCATTCTTCATTTCCGGGCCCTCCTTATTTGTTAAACCCCTTCTCTGGGAGTCAATGTCCCCAAATTTGGCTGGTGCCACTGTGAGCCACACCATGGACCAATCCCTTCTGGGAGCCTTCTCTCTAAGCCTCTCCAAGGGAGAATCTGTGCTTTCTCTTTAGGAGCTGGGTAAGGATGGCTGGGATGCTCGGGGGAATGGCCTGGCAGGGACAGCAGAGGCCAGAATTCAGCTCCAGCTGAATTTAAAGCCAGTCTCTAAAACCTCCCTGGTTTTGTTCTCGCCCCTCCCTGCCCCTTCCAGGAACTGTGTTGTCTGGGCCCCAACAAGGTTTGGGTGCTGTGCCCTCCCCCAAGTCTCCTGCTGCTCTGGAGAAGCCTCTTGGGGCCTTGCTGGTTGGGGTTTCCCAGCACTGAGTTGGCGAGGAGGAGGGAGCCGACCGGAAAATGTGATTATTCCAGGGAATTGACTCTGTGACAGCAATGGTGCAGAGAGGCTGGGGGCTGCAGAGAGGCAGAGGCGGGGAGGGCGTGCACAGGAGGGGGAGGTGTAGAAGACAGTGGTGGAGAGTTGGGGAAGGCCTGTAGCTGGCCTGGACTGTGGGGACAGTCCCTGTTCCCCCACCCCTCAGAGATTCCTGGCAGTGGTCCTTAGGGACTCCAGAGGGCTAGAGATAGAGAGAGGAAGGGACAGAAACAGCAGGGAGAAGAGAAATCAAGTCACTCAGAGGTGCGGAGCCAGAGCCTACAGGAACAAGGCTGTCATGGGGCCCATATGCATATGGACCCCCACACTCCCCACCCCACCCCCTCAGGACAATCAGCCCAGAGCCCGTGGAGCTGGGCAGACCCTCAGAACAGATTTTTGAATGGGGCTGGGTGTAAGTTATCCTGATCTCTCTGCCCCTCAGGAGTCCGCTTCTATTTGACTAAGCCCATTACCAGGTGCTCACTAACTCCCCTGCAACCTGTTCCATTGTTTAGCTAATCTGTCTTTAAGAAGGTGCTTCCTTCTCTCAAACTGAAATCCACCTCCTATATCTAACCCACTACTTCCTGGGCTGCCTATCACACTGAAGACCGCTCCTCAGGGAATACTGAAGAGCCCCCACACAGCTTCCCACCTCTTAGACAATGAACAGCACAGACTCAGTACTACAGATGTGCCTCGACCAGCTCAAGGCACAGTGTGGCCATCACCTCACTTGATATGTACACTATACTTCTGATAATGCAATCTAAGAGTACTCTGGGTTTTTTAAGTAACCAAAATCCATACACTAGTAGGCAGAATAGAAGCAGAGTTAAATGCAACGAATTTGAAGTCATCAGCCTGTGTTCAAATCCTGGCTCTGCCATTTCCTGTATGACAAGGCTGTATGACCTTGGACAAGTAGTCTTCAGCAGTGAAATCAGCACCTACCGACTTATATAAAATCTGTATTTTGAAGTCCCCCTAGATAGGATGCTGTGAAGATGAAATGGAATAAGGTCCATTGGGCACCTGGTAGAGTACCTGGCACATAACAATCAGGTTAATATGAGCCATTGTCATTATCGTTTATATGCCATGTGGTTCAAAAGGATGTGTATGGGCTTTGAGGTGATCCAGGCCTGGGTTGTTTTTGTTGTTTTGTTGGCAGCTGGCCAGTACAGGGACTGAACCTTGCACCTTGGTGTTATCAGCACCACGCTCTAACCAATTGAGCTAACTGGCCAGCCCCAGGCCTGGGTTTAAACATCCGATCCAGCACTTGGCTGGTGGCCTTTGGACAAGCAACCTTCTTCCCAGGCTCAAATGGCTCACCTAGAGAACAGGGGTAACAGTACCTGCCTTGTGATGCTGTTGCAAGGATCAGAGGTAGAGTGGGAAGCCCCCGGAACCTAGAAAGTACCTGATAACTTCAGATATTAGAATTTGCTCAGGGCGAGTTTGTTAACCAAAGTCAGGTCCACCTAACCATCAACTTTCTGAACCTTAATACAGGACTTCACATCAGTCATGATGGACACCCAGGAAATATTCATTGAATGAAATCACTGACTAAAGACCAGGAAGAAGCAGCTAAAAAGTAAATTACAGGAAAGAGAAGAGAAGGAAGAAGAGAAGGAAATTACATGGAGGATGGAGAGAGAGGAGAAGGGGATAGGAAAATGGCCCCTTTGGCCTTGCTTGGAATATTGCTGGAGTTGGGAAGGGAGGCACAGGAGCTGCTGGGAAGCAGCTAAAAACAGAACAGATCCCTGAGGTCGGTGCCCAGGCCAAATATGTCTTCTCTCTCCCTTCCCCTCCACCCCTCGGGGTCAGGAGCAGCTGCAGGCAGACAGCAAGCTCCAAAATAACCATCCCATCAGCGGGCCCAGCTGCAGCAAGGCCCTGAAATAGATGAAACTCGAGATGGAGAAGCTGGTCAGAGCACCCTCTACAGAAGGTTCGACAAAGGTCACAGAGGAGTGAGCCAGCATCAAGTTGGAGGTCAGGGCAGTGTCCAGGCCCTTCACATAGGAGAACACCCTGGGACCAACCTAAGCCCAAGACTGCACCCTGGGTATGGCTTAGAAAAATCAGATGGAGGGCCAGGCTGGTGGCGCACTGCTACAGTGCGCCGCTTGGGAGCGCAGCGGCGCTCCCGCCGAGGGTTTGGATCCCACATACAGACCGGCTGCTCACTGGCTGAGCGAGGTGCGGGCGCAACACCGAGGGTTGCGATCCGTTGCCGGTCACGAAAAAAGACAAAAAGGAAAAAAAAGAAAAATCAGATGGACAAGCTGTAACCCCAAGCAGTGGGGTGGCCCCCTAGTGGAAGCAACGAGTTATGTCATCGGTGCCAGAGACACACAGCTGCACACTTTGGCAGATGGACAAGCTGTAACCCCAAGCAGTGGGGTGACCCCCTAGTGGAAGCAACGAGTTATGTCATCGGTGCCAGAGACACACAGCTGCACACTTTGGAGTGCTTATGATGGACGAGGGGCGGCACATGGCTCCAAAGCCCAGGGAGAAGGTGCTAAGCTTGCTCCCCTCGCATGTCCCCTTTCAGGAAGGAACTTGTTAGTCGCAGCTCAGACACCCTGGGCCACAGCATAAATAACCAGGCCCTGCAAGGGCAGGGAGGCCTGGGCCAGGTGTCTCCTCCCCTCAGGGTGGCGCTCTGGGCACCTACTCACTGATCTGTGTGCTCAGCCCTGGGAAGGGGGTATAGGGAGAGGGAGAAGCCGGGACCTGTGCCCTGGGCTCTGGGGAGCCAGTAGTCAGTGGAAAAGTCAAGGTTTAGAGGCATGAAAATATTTAAATACAATCTAACTACAAGAAATTTAGCATCTCAGATTAGACAGGACCTTAGAGAGACTAAGGAACCCAGGAACCAGGAAATCCATTTATCCCTGCCAAGTTCTCACTCAGCCTTGGCTAGAATGACCCTGGGGACAGGAAGGTCACTGCCTACCAAAGCTACCTGTCCCTTATCTTTGAATAACTGTGACTGATAGAAAAACTCTTGTTGTATGGATTCACTCCTGGGGCCTCCTGGGAGCCTTCTCTTCTTCAGGATAAATATCCCCTTTAGGATACAGATCTCCATCTGAAGC